ATTATTTATTCTCTTAGATTTTCTGAAAAAATATCCAGGGAAGCCATTTGGACCTGGAGTTTTTTGACATTCTGTGGAAAGGCTTTTGACTACTGATTCCATGGTTTAACTTCTTAATAGTTTGTCCCAAGGTCCTGAGTTTGAGCTCCAGTATGTCCCCCCAAAATTAAAAAAAAAAGAACTTGAAAGAAGAAACAAACTAAAAATATTCCAATAATGGCCAATGATTATAATAATTCTATGGGTGGTGCTGACAAAATTGACCTATGTCTAACATAGGTCCTGTGATCAATAAGTGAGGGGAAAATATTATTTAATATTTAAAATATTATAAATATACTTTATATAAATATATAATTCATATAAATATTTTAAATATTATAAATATTTTATGCACCTTCTGGACCAAATATAGAACTTGTTTTTTATTCATAACAAGAGGGTTCAAAAAGTCATTTACAATTTAGATTAGATCTAACAGACCAAATAAGTGAAAAATATGGGATAGCAAAAGGCCAACCAGGACGTCCATCACCAATGTCTTCACCATTAGTTAGTGGGGAGACACTTTATTGAACTTCTACCACTCACAGAAAAAAAAGGAAAGGCCAACATGACAGTGTAAATGTGTTGTTCAAAGAAAGACAATAATGCAATGGAATTTGGAAAGAGATCAGATGCAATCTGCTGGTGCAATGTTGTTTGGACTTTCCAACTACCAGAATTGTGAGCTAAATAAATTTCCTTTATAGCAGATACTTTGTCACAGCAACACAAGTGGACTAACCCAGTATCTTACTGGTTTCCTTTCAGATGATTTGGACACTGCCGTATGCAGTGTGCCACTCAGATCCCCTTGAAGGATAGATTTATTCTCCAGCTGCTGTGATTATGGTGGACAGAAAGCCCTCAGCTGCCAGCCTTTTCAGGAAATGTCTTGGCTGAAGAGCACTGCCCTTATCCAATCACTGGTGGCATTCAATGACTACTCAGAGGCAAGAGTTTGCATCCCCCAGATCTCAACCTGAGACAGGCACTATGCTTTAACATGATAGCACGTTACCTAACTTTACCTAAGTATCTGGCATAAGTATGTTATTTTCCCATCAAAAACACTCAAAATCACAATGGGACAGAAGATTTAAATTTGTGACTCTGCAAAAATTCAGAATGTACTATACTATTAAATGACAATATTTGCAAAAAAGAAAGTGAGAGGCCACAAATACTTTGTGAGTCCTTCTGAGAAAAGCTTTGAAATTGTCTCCAAGAAAACACTATACCTTGCTTATAAGTGCCAAAGAAATTATTAAGTACTTCAGTTCCTGGTACTGGGAAAGAAAGAAATTATTAAGTATATAGCAAAGAACTACTTATCAAGAATTATTGTGGACCTGCTATTTCTTTCTGCTGGTCCCTGGTATTATCATAATTATAGCAGTTATTCTTGAGTGTTCACTGTAACAAATGCTAAAGAATTGTGCTTGGACTATAAAATACAGGTTCACAGACGCAGTGTTGGGTGGGGAGGACTCTAAAGCTTCAACTTGTATGCTTCTATTACACCATAATGCCTCTGGGGTCTTGAATATTCAAGCTTGAGAGAGGTTAACTAGTATAATTAATTCATTAAGTAATTTGTAGGAGGTGAGCACAAAAGTCAGGTAAATGTGCTTCCAAACCCATTTTCCCTTTTTGATCTTCTACTGCCTCCCCTGATGACTAGGACATTGGGCCTGCCTTCTAGGTGCTTAAGACCACAATTAGTCCAAGGTCTCACCCATGCAGGGTTTTGACAGAAGTGACATCCAGCACAAACCTGGGCTAAGGCAACTGAAAGGTTCTTCTGCCCTCTTGTGGTTCAGAGTGACTGCTACATACTCAAACTCTGATAATATACTGAAATACCATATAAAGGCACTCGGTGGCAGGCACAGAGTAGCAGGAGGCAACTCTGAAGTGGAGTAGATTTAATAACAGAATGTTTTGATTTTGCCACTGGTCCATGTGATGTGTTACTTATAAGAAGAAATCTTATCCTAAGATTTCAGAGAAAAACAAACTAAAAATCTATATTGTGCTATAATAAGGAATAATCTCCAATATCCATTTAGAAAAATGATAAAAGTTTAAAAACATTCTAAGCCCCAAATAAAACTCCTGATCTTTGCTTTTTATACTTAGTGATTGTAGAAATCTTTCTACCTCAGGATATACAGCGCTTCCTCATTCTGCAGGTGTAGAGCACTCACTGGTCAGAAAAAACTCATTTATTTAATTTGTGCCCTACTGGTGAACTCTTAAATTGCTTCCAAATGTCTGCTATTAAAAACAATGCTGCAAATAAACAAACGATCAGATGAATCCCCAGGAGGGGAAATGCTGGGTCAAATGGCACATTCACACCTTTGTACCACTTCCCCTTTGAAATTTTCTTCTTCTGACTCCCTTCTCTCTCTCTCTGGCTGCTCCTTCTCAGACTTCCCACATTGCCTTGCTTGCTCCTTAGTTGTCAGTTTACTGGGATCTGGTCTTGGTCCCCTTTCATCCTACAATCCTTTCTTCTCTCCAGCACTGTCAGCCAGTCTCGGCTCTGGCTATCAGTTTTCCTCCTGTAAGGCAACCAAAGTCATTACAGTATTTCTAAGTTTCATGCTTCCAGAATTATTTTATGCATATGTATGCAAATACAGATGTAATATATATGTGTATATATATGTATAAATATGAACATATACATCAGATCCAGCCCCCTTCTACATAAATGGAAGCATCTGTACCCTAAATTGAAGCAGTTTTAATGGAATTCTGCAAAGCAACAATCTTCACAGGAGACAAACATATGGCCCTTCACCAGGTGTGGTGGCACATGTCTGTAATCCTAGCACTCAGAAGGCTGAGACATTTGGCTAGCACTAGGAATTGCCTCCCTTTCAAGGCCAGCTTCGGCTACATAGTGAATACAAGGCCAGCCTAGAATATATAGTAACACCCTTTCCAAAAATAAATAAAAGTGTGACCCCAAATGTTTTTCAACTTATAGTTGATGAGACAGACAAATGGAGTGAACTCACAGGAGAAGATCAGATTTAAAACATTGTCTACTTAATTGAAGGGCTACAGAGGGGAACAGAGCACAGAAGCCAGTAAGTAAAAGGTCAGAATCTAGATACAATCTTTGACAGCTGTGGTTACCTATGAAAGGTTTTTGTTTGTTTGTTTTTTCCATTGTAAAGCTATATCACATATTATTTATTCATCAATGGATGGATATATGGGTTATTTCCATTTTGGCTACTATGGATACTACTACGATCAACATTTGTGTACAAGTTTTAAGGTGATCATACATTTCCACTGCTCTTGAGTTTAAACATAGGAGTGGAATTACTGGGTCACATTGTAACTCTGTAACTTTTGTTTGTTTGTTTTGTTTTGTTTTTGGCGCCCTGGATCAACTCACTCAGTAAGACTGAACTCGGGTACTTGTGCTTGCAAGGCAGGCCACTGAACTGCTGAGCTAAATCCCCGGCCTCTACACTCAGTCATTTTTGAGGAACTTCCAAGTTCTCTTTCACAGTGATCTACGTTTTACATTCCCACCAGCAATACACATTATTATCTGCCCTTTGGATTATAGCCAGGTTAGAGTTTGAGTAGTATCTCCTTTGTAGGCTTAATTTGCATTTCCCTAATTATGCTGAATGTCTTTTTATATGCTATTGACAATTTGTACAGTAAGTCTCTGACTTTGGAATGGAGTTCTGGGACAACATTCATACGTTGGATTTGTTCCTAAGTCCAACAAAGTGAGGCTTTTGTAGTGTACCTGTGAAAGTTCACAACTCGAATATTTATAAGTCAGAGACGTACATACCTTCTTTGAAAATTTAACTATTCATATTCTTTGTCCAATTTAAAAATTAGGTTGTCTTAATATTGAGTTATAAGAGTTGTATAATACTTCCTACTTTTCCCGTATTTCCCATTGAGAATAAAAGATTCTTAAACACCTAGGAAAGTACTGTTTTCTCTTTGTTGGATGCTGACAGTGGTATAGTGCTGAGGACCAAAGTCAAGGACCTGCAAAAACTAGGCAAATTCTCTACTACTGAGCTATATCACTAGTCACAATTACTCTTTTTCTATTGCAAAAGGTAATCACCAGAACTACAGATGCTCTTCAACCTACAAAAAAGCTTATGTCATGGTACACCATGATTAAGCTACAAAATATCAAAGCTTAGCCTAGCCGACCTTATTAAACATGATCGAAAGACTTACTGCTGGGCCAGGGATTTAGCCTAGTGGTGCCACACCTGCCTCGCAAGCTCAAGGTCCTGAGTTTGATCTCCAGTACCAAAAAAAACAAACAAACAAAAAAAACAAACAAAAAAAACACTGCCTACCACAGTTGGGCAAAATCATCTAAAACAAAGGCTATTTAATAATAGAGTACTGTATATCTCATGTAACCTACTGAATACTAAAAATGTAAAACAATTGCAGTATAAGTAATTTTTGCATTACTCTAAAGCTAAAAAATCTTATGTGTTTAATTCTCTTAATTCAGAGATTGTCTGTAGTTTTAAATCCAAATTAATCAATGATAGTTTTATACCACATACACACTTTTTGAAAGCCAACCAATTACCAATAGCTTCACTTAAATGACTGTGCTTCTGAAAAGCATCCAATTATCAACAACAGCCTTACTCAGGTAACTAATAAATTCATAACTAAAGGTGAACCAACCCCTAACACTTTTTTTTTTTTTTTTTTTTTTTTTTTGGTACTGGGGATGGAACTCAGGACCTTCAGCTTACAAGGCAGGCAGCCGCACCACTGAGCTAAATCCCCGGGCCCTAACACTTTTACTTTTGAAAGTCTCACTCTCTGGAAAACTCTAAAAAAAGCAATGGTTCTTAAACTTCTGGTGTCAAGACATCTGTGTAATCTTAAAATTTCTGGGGACTCTAGTCAGACATGGTGGCACGTACCTGTAACTCGAGCACTCTGAGAGACTGAGGCAGAGCCAAGGTTGGGTAATGAGCAAGATCCTGTCTCAAAACAAACAAAAAAATTTAAAGTGCTAGGGATGTAGCTCAGTATGGAGGCCCTGCATTCAATCCCCAGTATTATAAAAACAAAACCAAAAAAAAAAACAACTGAGAACTCCAGAGTGTCTATGTATGTGAATCAATAGTTATATTAATATTTACTATATTGGAAATTAAAAACTAAGGAATCTTTAAAATACTAATTCATTTTAAATTAACAAGTTTATTAAATTATTACCATAAAAAACACAATTTTATGAAAGAAAATTTTCCAAAAATTAAGAATGACATCATTTTATATTTTTGCAAATATTTTTAAATTTCCAGCTTAATAAAAGAAATCTGGGTTCTCATTTCTTTCTGTATTCAATATATTATAAACCATTTGGAATAAAGTATAGTATATGAAAACTTTTGTTCTCTCACACACAGAAAAGGGAGGAGCATTACATTAACCTTTTCAAATGATTCTGGATCCTGTGCTTTTGAAACTCAAAAAGTAGTAGTTTCCTAAAGGTTAGTTATAATATGGAATCTAGAACAACAGTCAGACCTCTGTACTTGTTGGCTTCAGAATTCACCAAACCCGTACTTGTCACATTTTGATGAGAAATGTTTTAGTATTTGGTACTTGCGTCGGTCTCAGGGTCACTCAGTAACAGTGCACACCCCTGCCACATCCCTCGTTCCCACCTTGAACTTCTGTGCATCTGGGGTGTTAATCATGGGTCACAAAAATGTTAAGAGTGATGCCATGAAGCCTAAAGACTTATATTAGCTCAGTAAAAGGCTAATATTATTAGCCCAGTAAAATGTGAAAATTCTGAGGAACTTTAATGAATTATTTTTAAGTAATTATTTTTTATGGGAAAAATCTGTTCAGTACTTGTCAGTTTGGCACTTGTCACAAGTTCCGGAATGAATTAACCACAAGCACTGAGGAATGACTGTATATTGATGAACATTTTCAGACCCTGTTACGTTAACATCCACTGCTCTCAAGTATAAATAATTTAAAGAACAAGACAAAAGATAGATAATAGGGAGATAAATCTTCAGCAAATGAGGAGACCAAGTGATGAAGGGAAGGTGGAGAGAAGGGAAAGGGAAACAAGGCGAATTAAGATATATTATATACATGTATCAACTACCCATTCTGAATGTAATCATTATGTACTATAAACATTAATAAAAATTGTTAAAATCCACTGCTTTATCTATACTTTGGTTCTTTCATCCATTCTAATTGTGTAGCATCGTAACAGTAGTCGTTTTGGCATCAGTGGTTCACTGAGTTGTGCACATCTTCCAGTGTTTCACATTCACTATACAATAGCAAAACATCACTTTTGTTAATAGCACTGCTTATATTATCAGAAAAGTATTTAAATATTGAGGTATCAGTCTCATAGCAGCAGATACAAGTTTTTCAGAATTCGAATTTTCTTTTCTTTTTTTTTTTTTTTGGTACCAGGGATCGAACTCTGGTCCTTACGTTTTCAAGGCAAGCAGCAGAACCACTGAGCATTTTAAATCCCCAGCCCCAGAATTCTAATTTTCACTCGCAATCTCAAATTTTATCACCACAAAGAAAAGTCAACTGTTTCATTTAAGTGGCAACTCACTTCATTTTTGTGAAAAGGTTTGCAAATACATATACCTAGATAACCATAAGTATGCCTATCAGTCATTTTTTCAAGTAAAATTGGTGTTTTCAAAAGAGAAATTAAACTTTCAGTGCAATTACATGAGTGCTTTTCCTAGAGACAAAAGAAAAACTTCAATGAGTTATAGTAGTGCTTTCTGTATATTTCACATTTCACTGCATTTGAGTAAAATGATCTATATTCAAAAGTCAAATTTTAATTAAATGTTTCACCAATAACATTCTTAAGTAAAACTGGCTTTTAAAAATAACCACGTAGCCGGGGATTTAGCTCAGTGGTGCTGCCGTCTGACTCGAAAGCACAAGGTCCCTGAGTTTGATCCCTGGCATCAAAAACAAAATAAAAAAAACACGATGTAAGGCAGGGAAAAATACAATGGCAACTAATACCGTTGGGTGGGTACCCCTGGTTTGATTTGTGCCACAGTGGAAACAGTTTTACCTACCACTACTTTGTAGTATCTGCAAATGTTAACAAAGCACAACAGGCAATGAGTATCATGTTACTAATGTATGAATACTGTACTTTTGCTCAAACTTTAAGAACCATTATTTCTATAAAAGACAGTGCTCTGCTTTGCTCGGAGATTCAGTATCTGACCAGAATGGCTCCCCTGGCTTAAACTTCCAATACATTCAGCTTTTACTTTCAGATTATCCATTAGTCTCTTCCTTCAATATTTTTTTTATTGACTTCCTGCCTTTTTTTCTTCATGACATTTCCCTTCCGTTAAGAGTTTATGTACTTTAGGGATTTAGCTCAGTGGTTCCACCACCTGCCTTGAAAGTGCAAGGTCCTGAGTTCAATCCCTGGTACCAAAATAAAAAAGTTTATGTACTTTACACATTATTTCTTTTCTTATAGTAATTTAGCCTAGAAACTCACCTTAATAAAGTCTAATTGGATTAACATCTAATCATACTGCCAAATTCAAGAAAAACGCTTTAACACTTAATACCTTTTCGGGGGTACACTGGTGATTGAACCCAGGGACTTTGCACAGAGCAACATTCCCAGCCTTTGTTTTTTTAAAGACAGGATCTCACTAAGTTATCTATCCAGGGTCTAAAGTCACATTCCTTATCACTGGGACAAAATATCCAACACCCACGACTTAATGGAGGAGAGCGTGACTTTGGCTCACAGGTGTAGTCCGTGACACCCTAGCAGAACAGCATGGCAGGAGGAGGCAGAGAGCAAAGGGAGGAGCAGGGAGGGAGATACATCCTTCCAGGTCACTTCCTTAATGACCCACCTCTTCCAACCATGCCCCCCTCTTAAGAGCACATTTCACTATAAAGTCATCCATGGATTAACCCACAAACCACTGATAAGTATAGCACACCCATGACCTAACAACCTTCCAAAAGCCCCACCTCTCAACATGAGACTTGGGGAACATTCCAGATCCAGTCTGTAACAGGCAGGTTCAAACACAGGATTCCTCTGCCTCAGCCTCTGAGAATGTGGAGACTATAGGCATGTGCCAGTGTAGCCGGCTTCTTTTTTTTTTTTTTCCTTTTTATTGAGGTTATTGGTACAATCTAGGTATACAATACAATTACATTCATCATTGGGATTCTGTACCTTTACATAATAGGTCTTGATTCTCATTTTTCCCCTTGTCCCTGCCTTCCCTTCACCCCCTCCTCCCCTCCCCATTTACAAACACTTTATTTCCATTTTTTCAGTTTCTCATATTTTTTTCCTCTCCCTTATTACCTTTCCCCCACCCTTCCCAGTTTCCTTACACCTTTAGCCCTTTACTTCCTATTTCACATTATTAATTGTCTCATTAGGATCCTGTGTACTATTATAGTTTTTCACACCAAAGAAACTATTCAGTGTTTCAGTTAATGAAATCTCTGTATGAACATTGAAAATAGGGAATCCTAAAATAAAACTAAAAAGGAAAGTAAAAGAGAAAAGGCAATGATGTAACATCAAAATAATCCTTAATTCTGGAGATGAAAATGGTCCCTGAACATATTTAAATTGCTTCTCGCTCTTATAGTCTTATCTTATTCTTTTTTCATTATTTAGAGAATACTTTATTAGTTTCTGTAATCAAACCCACGTAGATATGACCTTACATATTTAGTATGATGTGTTACCCCTGTACACATGGAAAAAATAAAAATAAAAATAAATTAACATTTCTAGACCAATATGGTTGTCCATTTCTGTACAATGCCAACTCAACACTGTAAATTGGGATGACTTTTTCCAAAGTTGGCAGCACCGTTAAAGTTTCCCAAAATTCAATTTATATATATGTGTGTGTGTGTGTGTATATATATATATATGTGTATATAAAGACTATTAATAGTATGTTATGCATTGATAGCAGCAACAGCTTTTCCAGGTTCTGCAGTCATCTGAACAAAATTATAGACATTCAGCACATTCCATTAAAAAAAAAAAAAAAAAAAGAGTAATATCCAGACAACAGCAAAGTTCTGTTGCTGTTGTGGTACCTGGCACCATTTTTTCTATTAGCCTCTTAATCATCATCTGGAAAGAGAACATTCTAGAGTAATATCATTAAATGTAGCTCTGATAAAGCACGGTCCCTACTATGTATCATAAAGGAGGTACTAGATATTTTACATTCATAGAGGTATGATACAGTACCGTCCTACATCAATAACACTAGATTCAGTTTTGGTTTGAAATTTACTTTGTCTGCAAATAAGACTGCTACCCCTGTTTTTTTCTGGGCTCCTGTCACATGGAGAATTGTTTTCTATCTTTTCACTTTCAGTCTATGGGCTTCTTTTTGCACTAGGTGTGTTTCTTGTATACAACATATTGTTGGATTTTGCTTCTTATTCCATTTTGCCAGTCTATTTCTCTTGATTGGTGAGTTGAGGCCATTGACATTGCTGGTTATAACTGATATGTACTGACTTATTATTGACATGTTATTGGCCTTTTGTTGACTCTTTTTACTTTTTCACCTTCTCCTTTTAATTTCTTGCCTTGCCTATTTGATTTGCTCTGTTGGGCCTCATGGTGTTGTTGCCTTCATTGTCTTTTTCTAGGATCTTGTTTAGAATTGCTTGTAGTGCTGGTTTGGTATTCATGTAGTTTCTCAGGTGTTCTTTGTCGTGGAAGTGTCTTATTTCCCCATCCATTTTGAAAGAGAGTTTTGCTGGATACATCAGTCTAGGTTGGAGGTTGTTCTCTTTTAGTACTTGAAATATCTCATTCCAGGCTCTCCTTGCCCCAAGGGTTTGTGTTGAAAAGTCTGCTGTGATTCTGATGGGCTTTCCTTTGTATGTGATTTGTTTCTTTTCTCTTACTGCTTGTAGTATTTTGTTCTTCTGTTGG